TCTTCCAAAGAATCCCTCTTCAAAATTTATTAAGAAACAAGGATCTCGAGAATGGATCGCTTTCCATTTGAACAATTATTTAATTAGCAATGACGATCGACAAGAGATAATCAACAAGACAGTTGAAACGAATTAATTAAAAAGTATTATCTTTTTAATTATACCCTACTGCAAATAATTGATCTCTCTTGATTTCCACAAAATTTCCACTCTTGTCTTCTTTCTCATCGTTTATTTAAACGATTTGAATCTCACGATTCGAAAGAATATTTGACAAAAGTTATCGAATTAAGAGGCAATCTCTCTCGAAAAGATTCATCGTGATTCGTACATCCCCTCCACCTCCTGTTCATATTTCCCGTCCCAATCTTTCTCTTTCTTCGACGTGTCACCCTCTCCCCCATTGTGCAACGCAGAAACAGACAATAACGAAGATGCGTTTTATCCGAAAGGGGGAAAAAAAAAGAAAACGCGAGATACACGGCGTCGAGGGGATCTTCGAGTTCGAAACAACGAGACACGTCGAATATACCGGAAGCGGCGGTGCTGTTCCATCCTCGTCACGACTGCTCGTCGAGCACCACCGTTTCTTTCTTTCTTTCTTCTTTCTTCCTTCTCCTTTTCTTTTTTTTTTTGTTCTCCTCTTGCTCTCTCTGGAGCACGCATCATATCGATGTTCCTTTCACGTAATTAGCGAATCGCCGTTTAGGGCGATTTTGCAAGCGCGACGATTATCGATCTGTGGTCGAGCGTGGATTTTTTCTTCCCTTTTTTATTTTCCTTTTTATACTTTCGTCCCCTTTTCACACACGTTTCGTCAAAAATCCCTTTGGAATTTTAATAAGGCAAATCTCAATAAGATATTCGATAAACGTGCACAATGAATCTTTTTTTTTCTTTTTCTTTTTTTGGGAGAGTTTTTTTTTTATTTTTATTTATATATTTGCGCGCAAAACGAGGGAATATAATTTTCGCGAAAATTGGATTCTTTCTTGAAATTTTTTTTTTCACGTTCCGTTATTGAATATCAAACTTGTCACGGCCCGTGTTCATCAGCACGAACCTCCGGCCAGCATCCGGTCGTTAGCCGATTAATTAATTATCGTTAATTGGAAACGTGCGCGTCACGGTGAAATCCGATGAAGATATAGGCCGGCGGATTTTGAATTTTCGCCCGAAATTCCTTCCCCGAAATTCTACCCGAGCAATATAATCTTGGAATGATGATTTCGACGAGATTAAAGAGAACGAAGAACGATTTAAGAAACAAGTTCCGAAGATGCGAAGCACATCCTAATGATGAAGATGAAATTGTTTAAGGTAAAAAGTATCATTGTGCACACGATTGCTTATTAACCAAATAGAAATCTTAATTGATATCAACTGGTAGATAGAGTTTTCAGACCAGAATTTTCGAGTTTTTGAAAACCTGAATCCCTGTTGATCACAATTGTTGAAATGTTTCTCTGTTTTTCGATAATTTTCCTTTTTTTCTTTTTTTTTCTGTGTCCATATTTTCTTTATTTCTAACCTTTCCAGAAAATATACGGATATTATTGGAAATACAAAAACAGGTTAATAAACGTGAACATCGACGACACTCTGACTACCAATTGAACACTAAGATCCGAAGATCCAATCTCTTTGATCGCTTAAGTTAATATAAATTCGAAAAATTCCAACAACAAGTAACCCGTTCGAGAAATTATCACTAAGAACATTAGTTTCGACCACAGATCGTGTCGTGTGTCACGCCGATTTTCGATTTTCTTGTTTAACTCCCACAAACTCCCAAACCAATGTGTTTTTGGAATGTGCCTGCTGTAAATGCATCACGCTCTAGTCTTGTTTTTCTTGACGCACCCAAGTTTGTAACCACAAAATAGCGCCGGATCCGGCTATAATTGTAACCATCCAATCTCGAAATCGGTCTCGGTTTTTTTATAACTTCCGTTTATTAAATCGCGCTAACCACACGTGCGACACTTGCACGGTAGTTGATTGTTTAATAATTATTCCGTTGTTGTTGTTGATTGTTATTGTTGTTTACTTGTTGCTCGTTGTATCAAGTTTATATTAGCCTGTAACCAGCTGCGCCACTTTTTCTCTCATTTTTTGTAACTAATCGCCACGGGGGACTCTGTCCCTTGAAGAGATTTGGAGCGTTCGAAAGTGTCGGGTGATGAATATTTAAATTTTGCAAAAAAAAAAAAAAAAAAAAAAAATTAAAATCAAATTAAAAATTCTACTATCATTGTTATTATTATTTTTTATTAGACTGCAGATGTTTATGCATATCGACGTTTCGATTGATTCGTTAATTTTTCCAATTTTAATTAATAAAAATGCAAATGCTTTTTAAAGCAAAATATCGAAAATTCTCTCTTAAAGGAATAACGTAATTACACGCGTTCTCTCCCTACGGTATCATAATCGTGTATCAAATTGTACAAAAAAAAAAAATGTATAAAATACTGTATATAATCCACGAAGGATATTTTTGCATAAACACGGGTCTAATCGATATTAAAATCGAAAAAAAGAGAAGAGGGAGAGAAAAAGCTTTCTCGAAGAAGAAAATGAAAAAAAGGGGTCACACCGGTGACAACGAACTTAGATTACATTAACTAAAAAGCGCTAACCGAGAAACATTTCGCTTTGCAACTCGCTTCTATTCTCTCTCTCTCTTTCTCTCTCGTAAACGACACGATAAAGAAAGGGTCGTCGCATAAAAGGAACAATAGACGCGATTCACGCGAGCGCTCCTTGATCTCTTCGAGGCGGAAGTTGAACGTGGACCACGCGGAAGCGTTAAAGGCACGGAGTTAGAGTTGAGGGATACGCACACACGGTGACGGCGCGGACAAAAGGTAGGCAGAAACATCAGTTTTTATTGCTCCACTGTTTGGATCAAAGGGACGAGACAGAGAGAGAGAGAGTTTGTGTGGCGATCAATCGAGGGCCGGATACGCGGACGATGCAGCCATTTCCGGGCGCCGAAAGAGGCGTCGTCTTCGAAGTGGAAAAGTTCCATCAGCGGAACGAGCTCACCGATTTCTTCCTAATTGTCGCTCGAACAATCGACCAAATTTCTCGTCCGTGGTCGTTAAACACTGAAAGCTACCTGTGCTTTAGGTATCTTTTCACCAAAAGATCGTCGGATTCGAGGGACTTTGTTCCACGATACCTGGCTGATCAGCCGGATTTTATTCTTCTCATCCTCGAGGATTCCATTTCTCGACGAGATTCGACGAATTTCTTGAATTGTTTTGTCAAAGATCGGATTTCGAATTCGATTTTTGCTTTTTTTTTTACTTTGGAGAATTAGAATCTTTATGTTGGGAATTTTATTTACCATCTCATAAGAAATCTTAGATTATTTTTGTTTTTTTCCGAGATCTTCCTAGAAATTGTGTAAATCGTTAAAAATTGTAAATCGAGAGAGACTTCAAGGCTCGTATAATCTTTTTATATATTTTCTCGATAATGATATTTGGTTACATTAAATTGCTGCTCCGCGTGTTTGCAAGTATCGTCAGATGTTATAAATAGCTTCATGGTAGAAGAAGTATGGTAACCATCTGTCTCAACGCTGGTCAAATACAATTTTACGGAAATATCCGTGCAAGCATCTCGTTCGAGGATATCATTTGTCTAGAAAACAGATTCTTGTCTGTTAATCCATTTCTTCGTATTCTTCAATTCCATTATTTACATTGTTTTAATTCCATTTCGTTCGAAATACACTTTCATCTTCATTTATTATTGATTATTGATTTGTTTTGTTTCGCGTGCACCTTGAAGTAAATACTTCTGTATACGTTTTCTTGTCGAATAAGTTATGTTCAGATATGCGAACAAAATTATCACGGCACAAGGTAACAAGGTGCAAATTATAATATTTGTGATTAGGACGCACGTAGGTGATTTGTAAAGTTGTTTTATTTTGTCCCACCAATTTTCTATTCTTTCCATTTTTTTCTTTTTTTTTTTTGTTCTCGATTCCGTTAATTGAGATAATTCAAATTTAACTCATCTCGACTCGTTCCCTTTCCAATTTCATTTTTCAAGATCGATTTCGTGTACAGTTGTTTCTGATTTGATCGATTGTAAGTGAACGTTGTTGTTGGTTTCTCACTTTTCTCACGAATCTTCTAATCTCGACTTTTTCTCGACGGGCCAACCAATTTTCTAATACAAACCTCTTGTTATTTTTCGCAGAAAACATGAGGATCCCATGCTTTCATTCTTGTTCCGTTATTTATCCACTCGCAATCTTCTTTTCTTCGAATCCTTTCGAAACGCAGATAAGAGATTAAATAAAATCAGTGCAACAATTATCGTTGCGAGGGTGTAAAAGATGCAAACGTCTCCTCCAACGTGTTGAGAACTCTCCAACCCTTCCAAATCCAAGTCGTTGAAAGATCCTTCTTTTCGCGCCCGTTCGACATCCTGAAATTCAACGTCTCAACGTGAAAAACATTGTCTCAAAACGTAAAACTCCTCGGCAAAAGAGAAAAGAATAGGGATATTCTCGCCTTCTCTTTTTCGAAAATTCATCCTCTTTCGAGAAGAAATTACAGACGGAAGAAGGGAAACTTGTCTCTCGTCTTCTCTTCCTTTCGAAACCTCGACCCTTTCCGCGAAATAGAGAAGAAAAACGAATATATATACGAGTAAATACGAGAAAAAAAATTGGTCGAATTTCGTCCTCGGCGTCCTCTCTTCCCTTCAAAATTCGAAAACCCCGCGAAATGGGAAGAAAAGCCATAATTTCTTCGAGAAGGAGACCTCGTCTCGTCGTCGTCGTCGCCCCCTCTTCCTTTCTGGAAAGCCCCCCCTCCCCCACGAAATCTCGCGAAATAGAAAGGCGAGGAAGGAAGGAGAGCAGCGAAGCGGCGATGGCCGGCAAGGAGGAGGAGGAAACTCACCGACGGCGTGAGAACGGTGTTGAAAAGGTAGGCGAGCATTAGCATGTGCCTTTGTGCGTGTTGTTGCAGCCGCGGCGCTGAGAGGAGTCGCCATCCAAAGGGGACGAGTGGGCGCTGCGAGGGCGGCTTTCCCGACTAGTGCAGCGGCATTGGCCCTCGCGAGGAACCCGGGGCCACTCGCAGCTGCGGCTGCGGCTACGGCCCTGCATCCCTTCGCACCTGCGTAAGTAGACCTCGACCCGGTGCCGTATGCCTGCCACGCACCGTGCTCGATGGAAATTTCTCTTGATATTTCTTTTTTTCTCTCCCCTTTCTTTCACACGTCGCAACGAATCCCTTGATCTTTGATTTTCCCCTTTCGTTGCTCGATGTTGCGATCTGTCATGGCGGAATTTCGAGCTTTTCTTTCTCTATTTTTTAAATGAAAGGAGCGTCTTAAGGTAACCCTTTGTAACAGGATTATTTTTACGTTTGCGCGTATCGATATTCTCGTTCTTGAGTTAAGAGCGAGGAATAGCTTGTTTGTAAAATTCTGGTTATAGAGGGTTGAATTAGGACGGATTAGTATATCGAATGTCAATTTATTATTTTGGAGATTTAATTCATTCTTGTTTCGAAATTATTATTTTGAACAGGATCCAAAATGGTGGAATACTTCGTTCACGCGTATATCGCCTATTTCGTATTAGATTATTACCCGGATTCGTGAATAACGATTCTTAACTCTCTATTCCCCTTTCGTGAAACTTTCCATTGTTCCAACTTCTCCTCACGGTACAACCGCATTATACTCGTGTTAAATAGATGACCTAATACGTTTAGTCCCAGAAAATTATTGAATATAGATGATTCGCGTTAAAGAGGGAGGCAAAGTTCTGGGACACGAGCTCGCGGCTCTGTTGCAAAGTAGGAAAGTTGTGGCTCGGGTTCGAAGGAAGTCTGGCGAAAGGTTTAATTGGAGCCGGGAAAGTTTGGAAGTTGAAACAGTTGCGTGACAAAGTTTAAGAGATACACGGTGTAAGCCCGTGAACGAGAGGAGACTATATACTTCACCGAGTGTTCAGAGAATCAGAAGAAGTCGTTCAAGTGTTTGTCCAAGCACAAAGGATGGGAATAATAACGTTCGTAGCCAAGCTCGAGTTCTAGCAAATTGTAGCTCTAACTTCATTTCTCAGAATGTTGTTCTGAGAATATAGTTGCCGTGTATCGTCTTGTATCACTTCAACAATGTCAACATTCCGTTACAACGAATCTCTTATATCTCTGAAATGAATAGAAAGAAATGAAAAATCGAATCAAAAAAATATATATTCACATAAAAATCTTCAATTTAAATTTGAAAAATTTCTTACTTACATTTCGCTCACATTTTCTCTTCACATCCATAGAAAATGTACAAAAACGATTTACAACTTCTTCCTCCTTAAAGCTTCGATAAAATTCTTAACAATTCGCGCAAATATTCATACGAAACTAATAAAAACTACTTTGCAACAGATCTGTACGAGATATTATTATACACGAGATCAGATCCCTCTACCTTCTTGGCTAAAATATTTTTTAACAATGGAGGTCCGATAATATCCAAATCACTGATCCGAATTCCTCTATATATATATATACACATATATCACGTCCTACCGATTCTTTTCAACGCAGTATTCAACCACGCCGCGATTCCGCGTGGAAATTCACACTTCGTTCAACAGCTGATTCAGTTTTTTCGTTTGGCCGGGCCGATCGCCGAACCGCGAGAAATTCCGCCAATTTGTCCGCCGTGGATCATCGAGTGTCATCGAAAGCAAACACGCTTCCAGTTGCGAGCAGCATGCGCGTGCAAGCCTGCTTTTCACAAATCACCAGCATGAAACGATATAATAACCTTTCCCTCCCACGAGCCAACCACGAATTTATTTTTTCCAGGGATCCTTCGAATATTTGGTCTGTCTGTCGATCGATGATCTTCTTTTTTAAAGACGTGGCGTGATGATCGGTGGTCAATGAGAGAGGATTTACAAAAAATCTCGTTCGTAAAAGGGGAAAAGTCGTGAGAGAAGGTTATGGGAGGAACATGAAAACTGGATGGATCGTTGAAAATTGACGTGATGTTGTTCAAGCTTGATCGAGATTTTCGAATTTCTTTTTTTTCGAGATTCAGTTTGTTCTCGATCCTTTCGAGATTAATTTATTTAAGGAATTGATTTGTAATTATGAAATACAAATATACTACTTTTTTTTTGTGATAGAGACTTGATATGCTCCTCGAATGATTCAAGATTAAACTAAAGATACAGCTGTTATATATTAATCATATATCGTACAATCGTGTATAATAAATTATATCGTCGTACAAAATATCACACTTGAAATAATAATTCGTTCATAATTGTTCAGTAAGAGTTGAAAAAGAAATCGTTCGATAATACTCTTCAAACTCGTTGTCCCGACATTGCCTCGAAAGGATTAAGAATTAAATGATTTTTCAAGTATTTTATTTAAACCAGCCAATCATAACACCGATGGTTTCCAGATTTTTTAGTTGACACCGGAATTCCCGCCACCAGTTTTTTCGTCCGTGCGGAAACTCGCTCGGTCGCGCATCGATAAATAGCTGTATACATGCATTGCCGTTAATTAAACAATTCGACAGGACCAGGCGCGCACCAGATGAAAACCGGCGATGGAAAATTGCGGGGACCGCGGATATTTCCGCGTCGCGGCCATATTTTCCCGTCGATCAATCGCCACCAACCAGTTTTATTACTCATAAATAAGGGTTTGAACGCGTTGAAATCGTTCGTTACATATCGGTTTCTTCCTTCCCTGATTCACCGATCATCGGGCGACACGTTTTCACGCGTGATTTATGAATTTTCGTCGAACGACGAAACGGCGAGAAGTAGTGATAACCGGCGACGAATAAACTCGACGGGCGGTGAGAATGATGGACGAGGGAACGATTTTATCTCGCGATTCTTTTTTTGTCGATCCACTTGCGAATATTCTCGTTCGATTTAAAAAAAAAAAAGAAGAAAAGAAGAAGATGTATTTTCAAAACTTCAAAATGGAGGACGATCCTTGTCGCGTGGAGAGATTTGGAAAGATCGTTGAAAAGAGTGAAACATGGGGAAATATCGAATCGGGAATCTCGATACAATCGGTGGAACGAGATACAATCGATGAATAAATATGTCAGATATAAAAGATGGCCTCGACGGGTAGAAGCACGCGGTTTCGGTTTCGTTTCGAAATTTGATCGAAACGCGATACTTTGATCGGGTGGAAGTGGGTGGAAATTCATCGGGTCGCGGAAACTGTGGAACTATTTCTCCCTTCCTCAAATGATGAACGAAAAAAGTCAAATCGATCCTTTCGGCGCTGTTATTCGTCGGTCATCGAACTCGAAGAATAATCTCGTATCTCGCGAGAACGATACTCACTTTCTTACTTTTTCGCGAATTGTTTTACTTGCAGATGAGAGCGACCAGTTCTTTTTGGCGGAAGAACGAAGACGCGTCATTTTTGTCAAAGACAGCTCGGTATTAAATATTACCAATGTTACGATTATCGAAATCCTCTCGAGAAGAAGAGAGCAATGTTCGTTTTAGAAGAGATGAAAAATTTAAATTTTCTTGAATTGTCGAGTAATCGTGAGAAAAATAATTCCACCGCGATAATTAAAACGAGAACGAAGAGCAAAAATGTACGAACAAAGAAAACGTGTTGAAAGAAAAATACGAGCAGGAACTGTCGAAAAGATACTGGTTGGCGTAGAGGTGGAAGTGGAAAAAGTAACTGAGAACTAACATTCGTGATTTTTATTTTTTCCAGCGTTTATTACGACCCGTTCCTAGCAGCACACGCGGCGACACAGGATCCCAACTACAGGCTACAGGTGAGACACGAGATTTTCACTGATTTTCCGCCGGAAATTGTCGCCGGTGCTCTGTTTCCGGGGGGCTCGAAGCGGCGACGAATGAGTTTTTAATTAAATCGAGCAATGCCCTTCCCCCGCCCGGATTGAAACATCAGCGCGCTTAATCGATCACCTTTCAGACGTTGCCGGCAGATTATCGGGGATTAATTGATAAACGAACGAACGAACGAACGAACGAACGGTTGATCGTTGTTTGCGCGAATATTCTTCCACGATTCGAGCAGGCGAGGAGAAAATTGAAGAAATTTCAGGGTCGCGAGCGACGAGGTGAAAAATCGAAATTATCGATCATTTTCCACGCTTGGGATATTTTAACGTAGTTAATGTTCGGTTCGATCGAATTTTTGGAATAGTGATTTAACGTGTGACTGCCACGGATGGAAATCGATGACCTACATTTAACAGTGTCGCGCCGTTGCAAAATGGCCAGTGATGTTTTGAAATTTAATAAAGAATATTATGTTCTTTCTATGATACAATAATAATTTAAACTATTCGAAGATGCTAATTATATTTTTTCGATAAAATTATCCAATTATTATTTCCGTTAATGTTCTATGAGCAAAATTTTATTTCTTTTCTTTTTTTTTTTGTTTATTTGTTTATTAAGTTATTTATTTGTTTAGTATTTTTTATTTTCCTTGTTATTCTTTTTTTAATGTTTTTGCTACGTTTATAAAATTAATAGTCTACGTATTGACAATAATACAAAATTTTCAAATTTAAAATTATCGTCAAAGACAATGATCCCAGCATTCCATTATAAAAAGCATTCCACTATAAACTTTGTGCTCGGCGAAACGGTTTCAAACAGGAAAACGATGTTTCCACGTGATACAATGGAAAACCGTCGGACGTTCTTACCCCTCTAAGAGGGTTCATTGTTGCCTCTAAAAAAGCTGTCGTTCGATCGATTCCCACCCACTCGAAACGTCGTCCATCGCGTCCCGGAAACAGAGCACACGATAGATATCTTGGAAAAAAGAAAAAAGGGAAAAAAAATAGAAAAGATTGAAACAAACAGCATGAACAAAGTAAAACAAAACTAAACTAAACGCAAAAATAATAATAATAATAATAATAATAATAATAATAATAATAACGATAAAAAGAAGGGGAAAAAAGATTAGAAAAAAGAAAGAGAAGTAGAACAAAGAGAAAGAAAGAAGGCAGAGAAATATTGACTAAAGTCTGCAACTGTTCCGGACCCGTTTAGCTGGAATGGCCTCAAGCAACAGCTGACGTTAGTTGACACGTTTTGCCAGGCTTGCACACACGTGAAACGCAGAGAGCCCGATAACAATTACGCCATCCCTATCTCGTTTCTACGTTCTTTCATCTGCTGTCACTCTCGTCCGTTCTTTTTTTTCTTCTTTCTTTCTTTTTTTTTTCTCTCGTCGCTCGCCTGTTCGTCCATTTCTCCTCCTCTTTCTCTCTTTTTCTCTCCCTCCTTTTCACCCTCTCTCGTTTCTCTTTCGAGCTTTCCTCCACCGTACCGCGAAAAATTCACGGCGATTCCCTCGTTCGGACGAGACAAAGAGAAAAGAGGAGAAATTATGAAACAGAGGAGAGAGGAATTGCAAAAGAGCAGACGCAGGAAACGGGTAACGACAGATATCGCTTTCACCCCCTTCTCGACAATTCCCCGATTCGCCATCGAGCAAAATGAAAATTAATTTCGAACATCGCGCCAACTGTCATTTCTCCAACTGTCCTCTTATTTCGTTACAAAAATCCGAGCGCGGTAATATGTGGATATAGGAAATTCGAAACGAGAGAAGGTTCGTATTTTTTTCTCTCTCTTCTTTTTTTTTTTTTTTTTTTTTTTGGAATTATTCGATACGTTCGATTTGAAAACAGAAAAGGATGGGGTGAGATCGTTGCTCTTTTGCGATTTTGGAAAACATTTTGTACCTCGAAAATTCGATGATACTTCGACACGTTCTGGCCAATTTCGCTTAAAAATTCGATGGTTTTAATATTTCGGATAGAAACGATCAAAATATGTGGTAAAGTTTGACTAATGTTTGAAATATCAGAGATTCGAATTTCGGTCGAACGTGTTATTATCTTCGATCACGAAAATGTGAAATTTATCTCTCTGAAAAAATTCTACTATCCCGTGATTGTTTTATCTTTACCGAGAATAGAAAGAAACGTAAAATGAAAAATTAATATTCGCGTATTATACTTTATACGCGAGAGAAAAAAATTTTTTTCGAAATATAAAAAAATATAACATTAAATTTATCTATTACTATTTCAAAATCAAACAGATTCGCGAGAAAATGTCTCTTCCTATCCGGCAATTGCATCTCATCGAGTCGTGCGGCATCTTGTTGCATTTTGTCGCCTGATTTCTCCACTACTCATCTTTCGCCTCTTTCTTTTTTTACATTCGCTCAATTTCATTTACCAGAAATAAACCGTGAACACGAAATCGATTTTACCCCCACCGAGAAAAAGAAAGTTAAACACAAACGAACATGCGGATAGATTCGTTTCTAGGTAATGTAACACGAACAAATTAATTATAACAATGTAAAAATAATCAACCAACGATTCCAACGTTCCTCCTTTTTTCGCGACGTCATATAAAATCCCATTTCCTCCCCCCCATCTGGCCGGAATTCTTTTCAGGTTTGCCGTTTGTGTTCAGGCTAAAGCACCCGCCCTGGAGGTAGGAATTTTAAGGGTCCGCCCTGACTGAACTTTCTTCGCCCGTTGTTTGTCTATTTTTTTTCTTTTGTTTCTTTCTTCTTCCCCCCCCCTTTTTTTTAATTATTTGTTATTATTATTTTTGAGTAACATTTGTCCCCTTTTCTATTTTCCTCTCCTGTCTTTTCGTTTTTTTTTTTTTTTTGGAGATTTTTCTCGTTTGGACCTGGTCGACCAGGAGTGCTCACCGATCGTCGTACCGCCATCTTGTGTATCCGTATATCACACTTTTACTTTCTGTTATTCTCTGTTAGAATGTCGAATTCCCCTCCCCCCTTTTTCCTTTTATTCTTTCCACTCCTTTTCTTTATCTCTTAAGAGTAATTAAATCTATTCTTTATGCTTTCTCCTCTGTTCTGCGCATCACCCTCGAATGTTTAATATTCCCTTTTTATCTCTTGTTTTGAATCAATGTAATGCATGCGATTGGTAGTTTTTGTTTCTAATTTTTTTCTTCTTCTTATTATTATTATTATTATTATTATCATCGTTTCTCTCTTTTTTTTCTTTCCTCCTCTCCCTTTTATTCATTAGATTTTTTAATATTCTATCTTGGATTTGTTGATACGCTTTCACGTAGACATACGCGATTTATCGTACTATGAAAATATCTAGAGTACATAGGAAGTAATGTGTGTATTATATATATATATATATATATATATTCATCGAAGGAAAAAAAAAAGTTCCTCGCCGACGGCTGCAATTTTCCAGAATTCAAAAATCTCGAGTCGTTGTCAATCAATACTCGACGATATTTTACTTCCGAAAATGATGCAGAAACATCGAAAAGACGCACTATTTCCTTTTCATTCTCTTTATTCTTCTCCTTCCACGCTACTACACTATTACATCCATAAAATTAAAAAATTTTCCTTCTCAAATTGATCGAAGTGTTGAAATTCAAATTCATAACAACAATATTAAAATTGCATTACGACACAAGCGTTAACACTTTGTTACACTTTAACCATTAATTTTAAAATTATCAAGAAAATTGTTGGAAAATTCGAAAAAGATCTCCCCTGTTTCTGCATCCTGCACCCCCCACTAACACGAAGATCCAACGCTGCAACGGCCGCTGCAATCGGTGAGCACTCCGCAGAGCCGGCGAGTATCTTAGAAAGAGTTGTTTAGCTAGTTTAGAATTGCTACCAAGTTCAACCCAACCGCCCCACATCACACCCCATGGCAGACAGATTCACCCTCCCTTGAAATTAGTTTCTCCACCGGCGACTTAATCGAGAACATGTTAGCCATCTCCCGAGTTTGCCTCTCGAAGTGGAGGGGGTGGTTCTCGAGCTTTTGACGAGAACCGGCGCGGATGTAGCGATTGTTGAAATTCCAGATGCTCGATGACATCTCGAGTGTCCCCTCGAATAAACTCTCATCCTCGTGGATTCGATTCTCGAAACGTCGAGCCGCTCAACCTTCGAGAAATTCCATATACATTTAATCTTTAAAATTTCGTTGTCTCTGCAAGTTTTTCTTTCTTTTTTTTTTTTTTTGGAATTTATTGGAAGTTAGTTTCGATCGGTTTTGCATAATCGATTCGTTAATAATTGTTTCGAGCATATCGATGACCACAGAGGGAAAGTTTTCCATGTTAGAAACATTCCACCACCCACTTAGTTCACCTCTCACGTGTATATACGTACACACACATACGTAGAATTTATAAAGTTTCGAAAGGATTATCAGATTCTTCTTAGTAATTTTAATTTTTGTTTTGTGTAGTGAACGTGTTTTTTTTTATTTTTTGTTACGTGTACATAGGAGGCATGCCTCTTTTCTTTATGAATAGATACGCGGTTATTGGAGAATTTTTAGTGAGCGTAGAATGTTATTGGATCTTTGAAATTAATAAGGAGAGAAATTTCAAGTATTCGGATATTATTTAGTTTTTTACCTTTAGTTTCTTAAAAATTAATGTTTTTATCATTATCGTAACACGTGCACGTGTTTAAACCTCAGTTATACTTATTCGAATTATATTTATTTACGTTAAACGATACGAACGATATGAAACGATATTATTGAAATTACGTTTCTCGTAACTCTCGAAGGAGAGCTCTGTATATATATAAACACACACAGAATATATATTTATACTATATCTTTGTTTCCTTTCGAAACATTCGTCGATCGAACGCCGACATGTATAGGCGTATCTCTCGAGGGGATCGAACTTAACCAATTCCGATTCAATTCTAAAAAAAAAACGCAAGTTAAAAAAAAAACAAACACTGTCTACGATTAACGTCAACAGCTTGGACTAAACAAAAAAAATTCTCACATCAAACGAACTTGCTAGCGTGTTAAGAAGAACGCACACACACACACACACACACACACATGTACACGCAAAAAGAAAGAAATATAAAATTTGAAGATGACGCGTAGATGAAAAACGAGCAGGATGATGGTGGTTTTAGAAAAATCGTCGTAAATTTTCCAAAGGCCGCATAATTTCCCGTTGCTCGTTCCAACGATTTCGACTTCCCATTTCCGGCGGGGGACCAGAAGCTCGCCTTGGGCACGGATCCTGGCCGCAGGGAATCCTGGTTGTCGGCCAGGATTTACGAGCTCCACGGGAAGAGAGGCAGTGGTCCGCGTGGAAGCCTCGTTCTTCTCTCCATAAATCAACGTCGCGTCATTTCGCGCGTCCGACAACTTCATTCCGGGTATTTTGCCGGGCTTCCGTCTTCCGCGCCCTCGTTAAGCGCGATAATTATTATTAGGAGAAGGAGGGAGGGAGGGGGGGGGTGAAAAGATGTTGGGAATTTAAAAGTCTGTTTGGTGGTGAATGAGGGATTTAGGTGGAATCATTGGACGGGTCGTATCAACGACAGGTTTTAAATCGGTATTAAACTGGTTTGCGTGTATTTTTAATGAAAGAATAATTTAGAGAAATGTAAAGTTTTTAGCACTTTTGGTTGATCGTCCTTTCTTAAAACGGACAAATTTAGACGATCTCTTGGAAAATTTGCATGAGCTTTGTAACTTTGATTTCGATTAAGAATATACAATGAATAGTGCACAAATAATTTTTCAATAATCATACTTTACTATCTCACAATAGAGGCACGCGCTAGTTTCCAATTATCACATAACGATCTGTAAATACAAATTTTCCCTCGAATAATAATCATTGGTGTAGCATAACCGCGAAAATGCTCGTGAAATCGCCATTCAAAATTCCGTGTCGTCGCACGAATTCTTCCAACCAATTACCAACGCCCATCGGCTTCCAATTTTCAAGCGGGTTCGTACGTGAAGTAAGCAGCGTCTCCGGTGGATGGCCGGGGAGAAGGAGAGCAATTATCAAGGCGCGTTCCTCGTGGCTAGCGGTGAAACGTTGCGCATCGGAGAAAAGGGGAGATCGTTAACGTAACATCTGACCCGTGAACCGACGTAAACCGTGAGATTTCTGTTGCGGTTTCGTAGTTTCGAAAAAAAAAAGGATCGGCGGAAAAGTATGCGACGGACGCGTTGTAACGGGTGGCCTCCACCCCCTCGAAAATAACCGAGGGTTAATTGAGCGGGATGCACTTTTTCATCGCGTGGAAATTAAGTATCAACCCGCTGCGGCATCATCGAGAAAAATTTTAGAAAGCGTCTCGTTAAACATATTTTCCATTCCGCGTGAATGGAAACGTGAAAAAAGTTCGAAGCTTTATAAAGTTAATAAGCGCTCCCGGGTTCTGTAAATATTGAAACTTTATTACTTCGTTTAACTGTCTATGATTTTCCATCGAGTGAAGTGGATGAATCTTACATTGGTCGGACAGATTGTCGGAGAGAGATGCGGATAGATTTTTGTATTGGTCAGATACATCCTGAATTCTATCGGACAAAGTGATAGAATAATATAATTGGAACAAATTAGTTTTAAATTCGTTCAAATCTGACCTAACCAACAAGACAAGAAGCTTTTATGCTTCAATTGTCGAGATTCTTACAAAGTTTTTTTGCCAACAAAAAGGATACAAAAAAGTAAGATCAAGTAAAAATGCAATATTTCCGAAGATCGGAAAAAGAAGCGAACAAATAACGCGAGAGAACCACTTTCAAAGAACCAGCCGGTACGATACTCGTGGCGAGATCGGCCACGGGCGCTACTGTACCCCAATAACGATATCAAACAAACCCCCGGGCTCCATAAAGCAACGTAACGAGGCTCGTTCCACGTCAGACCCGCCATTTTCCAATCTCAGCACAGGCATGTGGGAAGGCGGTCGAGTAATAAGTTGCAGGATTTCAAGGAACGTTAAATAATTTCGACGGCTAAACACCCGGTGGAGAACCAGGCTGGACCGACGAGTGTCACTTGACCCACATACCGCGAAATATCTCGGCCGAAAATCAAGCAACGTAGAACGTGTCTCGCGTTTGAAAATCAACCCAGTGTGACCCAGAAACTTTTCCCTCTCCCCCCACTTTATTTTTTTCCCCCATTTCCACGTCGTCGGCAATGGATACACGCCTCTTTTCGCGCCTACGAGATTCCGAGATTTCTTCTATCGAAACCGTATTTTTTCACTTTCATCGTTAATTCGTCGTTGAAAGAGAATATTGAGAATTGATGTATCGAAAGATTGCAAGGAGAGAGTTTGGAGCGATTTTGATGATGAAATGATTTTATAAAATCGATTCATTGATTAATCAGAGAGTTTGATAATTTCGATTTGGTTCTTAATTCTAAAGAAATGATAGGTTGGTTGGAAGTGAATGTATCGTGATTGCGAATTTTGCGAAAGAATTTCTAAAATTCTCTTATTAAAAAATTTCGAAATATCTGTTCTCGTGCGTTTGAACGAGATGATTGATTCTTTTTTATTTTTTTCTCTAAAATAGTCGATGTATCAAGCACAATAATTGCGCGAAACTTTATGATTTATGAGAAGTTTGCCGAATACACGCATCGCGAAAGAAAACAACTCAGTTGGGATGTAGTCATTAATCATCGCGACGTGAAAAACTTTCCCTCATTTCGGAAGTAAACGTTCTATCGCTGAAGGTGCACTCTCAACTTTTCCTTTATGCGACGGGAGCTCTTTGCGCGTCGATCCTGAAAGCATCGATTATTCGCAAAAGATTAAATTGCTTCTAATTGGAACGAGATTCTGCAAAATTTTCATCCAAAAAAAATTTTTTCGTTTAAAAAAAAAAGAAAAGAAAGAAAGAAAAATCGAATCGCGCTTCTGAGAAGACTCGATTCCCTTCAGATCCCTGAAACTCGTGGATCAAAAGATTTCTAATCTGTCGACCTTCACGTTTCATCAGCGAGAGAACCAAGCGAATCGTCCAACTTCCGGTCAATGCTAACGATTCCATTTCAGGAATAGTTGGATTTTCTTTGACGGATAATATGATTTCGGAATTAGAAACGGAGAAGAAGTTTAATAAAATGGGGCAGAACTGAGGGGCGGGATTTAATTTCAGTTGCACTTAAATCGCTCTTCGAAAGACGATGATGGAATAAGACCGGTTTCATTCCGTCGAATGGATAATTCCATGATAATCAAGAGGAATGGATATATATATACACTTCAATATATACGATGCAAAGAAGTATTCGATCTTCTATCCATCTTCCTCTTAATAGCGATTAATTAAAATTCGATTTCTACTTACATTTCTTTTTTTTTTTTTTATTGAAAAAAATGTGATTGGAAATTTTATACATTTTTATGTATAAGAAAAAGAAAATGTTTAATCCAATTTATATGATGTCTTGAAAAAATTCGAGTGTCGATGACACAAAACAATAAAATAACATTTTGAAATGTCGTGATAGAGGGATATTTTTAGAAGAGATACACTTGCACTTTAGATGCATGCATGTAGATTTCGCGTTTCCACGATAATAAATGGCACACTCGGAGGATATGTCTTAATCTCGAGGTGAATATCGATACTCGGAAGCCATGTTCGGAAGTTATCTGGGACGATGATTGTCTCGTTACCAAAAACAAATTTTTTCTCTCCATTTTACGCAAATTTTTGCGTATCATTCGCATTCTAAAATTTACTCGAAAACCCTTCAGCTAATGTTCAATATTATGACATTATTTATTGCAGAAATCGATTTCGACGAGTAAAAAAAAAAAAAAAATAAACAATACGATCATTCTCGCATCATTCTCTGTACATAAGTCACGCCTCCTTGAGCTTTTGATCGACAGAAAGCAGTAGCTTCGAGAACCACATTTAGCTGAGTGCTCGAAACTTTTTACTATCTGCACCGTGGTGTATGGATGAAACAGTTCTCGTTGTTCAAACAACGCTCCAAATAAAAGTTCCCGACTGTGTAAACAAGGGTAGCGAAAAAATATATCGCAGATGAAACGATGAACGACAATCCGGCTGTCTCATCCATACGTTTTATAAACGCATCCGTAAAAATCCTTGCACGCGATGAGCTAAAAAAGAGTGCGTTTTCCAAACGCTCTTGGAATTTCCTGAATGATACAAAGAATTGAAAATATCCTCCCGTTATGCCTCCCCCTCCAAGCTTTGTTACGAAGAACCTAAAGTTTCCATTTCATTTTTCAAAGATCAAAAAATTGAAGGATTCGTAACGGACAATTTTTATCCTCTTCCAGGAAAATAAAAAATTCTCTCTAATATCTTTACAAAATAATACGCAATTAAAAAATTTGAAAAAACTTTTTTCCAAACGATTCATCAAAATTCAAATGCTTATCGATTTATTCGAAATTCTCTTCTTCCCTCAAAAACTGTAATCCTAATCTGAACGATGAAACGCTCTCCCGTGAAATTGTGGACGAATATCGGCGAAGCGTGCAAGGATGTTTACGTATAGCGAGAAAAAGGACGCGTTAGTACCGTTTCTCCGCTAGAAGGAAATTCCTGTCTGGTCTCTGTCTTGGAGCTTGCTTGAGCCTTGCATGGCGGGTCATGGTTCCTGTTTCAGGCCGCGGCAGCAGCAGCTGCAGCGTCACCATTGCTGAAGACGCCCCTCTCGACGGCGCAGCAGGCCACCTACGCAGCTGCAGCGACCTACACGGCAGTGGCTGCGCGCGCATACAGCGCAGCTGCAGCTGCGGCACAACCGGTCGCAGGATATGCCGCAGTCGCGGGGTAAGCACACCACTATACTCCCTTCATACGTACCTTCTCTGCCGTTATCCCTCGGGCTCTCACTCTTTCCCGTCTCTTCATCTCTCCTTTCTTTCCCTTACGGTCTTCCTTACGCTCTACGATTCTAGTTCTTTTTCTCCTCTTTCCTTTCGGGCGCAATTTTCAAAGCGCAACCGATCGATGGAGAGGTTAGGTTTCGAACGAGATTGATGATACACGCGGCATATAAAATATTTGAAGATCGTATCGATATTTGGGATTGTATTGTAACGTGAAATTTGAAATTTCTTCGTTCTTTCGGATATTTTTATCTTGGGTTATAAATAAATTCGAGGTAAAACTTTTTCCCGTTGCAAAATAATTCATATTGGACCGTAAGGGATGAAGAATATAATTAATAAATGTGTAAATGTCCTATGATCATGTTGTTTGAATCCAACTTCAGACCGTCTGAAAAAGAAGTGTATGAGGAGTCCGTTCCTTCCGGTCGGACCCGTCGTCGTGGCCGAGCTCTTAGGAGTCGCAGACACCTCGAAAGTCATCGTCCCGATGATGAAACTCCTGTCAAAAAACCTGATAGTTCCACTGAAAATCCTTAGACAAATCCTAAGTTTGTATAATCCTTTTATTTGTTTAATTTTGTTTAACACCTTATCGACTTTGCATTATTCATAAACGTGAACACGTTGAATAAGTGATAAGGCGGATGTTTAACACGCTTCCGCATTAATGTTACAGTTATGGGCGTGAATACGCTGATCCCTATCTTGGACACGGTATTGGACCAGTAGCCGGATACGGGGTAAATGCAATTTTAATTTCTCAAAGGAAAACGATTCTACACACTTTACTTCTCTTCAACTTTTGAATTGATAAGTTACAAATAATCGGTTACAACTGTACTTTTCACACTCAGAATGTAAACTTAATGATCGACAATTTACAAGAAGAAGAACTTCGATATCAAAGTTCCACAACTCCCCTTAAATGATACGAAGTAGAAATTAATTCAATTGTTCCTTTCGAGTAGCTTTGTCAAATCAAAGTTGTAAACAATTGTCGAGATTTCGAAGTTCACTTTTCAAGAAATTCTTCAGTCCACGAGACGTTGCGTCAGACGCCTATGCTTCGATTCCATCCACGAAACAAGCATCGAAGACGTTTCATGCACGAGTGCCTTGATCTCACTTTGCCCATTGCACGAGACTGTATACATATATATACTTGAAGCGCGATTTTGGTGGCATACGCGTCTCTCCAACACGATGCTTCGTGGACATGCCGCGCTTTAAATTAATAAATCGAATTTGAATTTCTAACTTCGGCTAATCGAGCAATCAACTTTTTTCACAGGCGACCGTGTACAGGGGCGGTTACAACAGGTTCACGCCATATTAAAGATGGTCAAATATCGAAGCGCGAGCCTTCCAAATACACCGTCGTTGTACTCAGTTGAATATGACCAGAACAAACAGAAATCGACACAATCATCATCGTCATCCGCCATCGATCACCCCACGAAGCGATGCCTGGATCCTCCGCGCATGCTGACGCTAGCCTTCTTCTTAGCACCGATACGAGATCGTCGACTTTCATCGACGAGAAGCAAAATTTTCCTAAAAGAACATCCGGCCACCGTTGGACGAAGTTCCAACGAAGTCACCAAGTTACCAAGTCGACTATCGCGAAGATACCATTCAGAAACAATGAAAAATTGGAAGAAGGAAATGGACATAGGCCGCGCACGGTTCCAGGATCTTCGAGAGGAAGAGAAGAAATATTGGCGAATTATTGCGGATGAGAGTAATCGAATAGATAGACGACTGATAGAGAAAAAGGGCAAAGGTTAAAGATAAGAACGAAAGATGATGGAACGGTTTTGAATTTAGATGTAAAGTTACTCCTCGATTAGGGTTGCGAAACGGTCGACCAGACGACAAAGGTCCACCGCCGAAGCGTCGTCGAACTTTCGAACCCTGATCGATAATCGGCGTAGAGAAGAGAGGGATGGTAGAGACGGGGGAAATTGGTAAACTGAATTAGCAGACAAAGAGGAACCGGTTTAAATTGAGTTTCGCTCGAAACATGCTAAACATTGGAACAGGTTCGAATCGATCGTTTTAAAAAAAGAGGGGGGGGAAAAAAAAAAAAAAATGGTAAACGTGATGCTGGATCAGAGTTGTAAGAGTTTATAGTTACGAGGAACATTCTTTCGAAACATTCTAGAGTTGTTTAGTCGAAATTCACGTGAGGGAACCGTGTAAAGGCATCGCGTCGTTAAATTTATCCATTCGTATATACGAGTTCGGACCCGGCAGCCATTTCGACTTATACGATAGTTGAACGACGACAGAGGGGGGGGAATGTGTCGAATATTGCCGGTGTACGTGTATATATATTTGTGTATATACATATATAAATATATATATATATATATAAGTAGATAGATATATAGATAATTGATCTCTTTAGAAATCAATTGTAATTATGCAATTCGTTGCTCGTGCACGTTTCTATAATCGTTGGGGGAAGACTTTTAAAACGCGTTCCGGGCAAGGATTTTTATCACGAAATGAAAACGGGGGTAATTTTAATCGCATTACACGTTACTCATCATTATTGTACGATAATTTCACGCGAAATCCGAAAGAGAAGGAAGAAGGGAAATGTTGGACACGCATACACACACAAGGAATTTTGTACATAATTCATAATTGATTTCGTGGTTGGGGAAGCGGAATGCACGCGACGCGAGAGAATTCAATTCAACACAGAGAGAGAGAATTTTGAATCAAAGAAGCAAGAGCGATCGATCGATTTGCTTCTCTCATATTTTTCTTCTTATTCCGTTTCTTTTTTTTTTTTTCTCTCTCTCCTTTTCCCCTTTGTCTCTATATTACAGAGGAATCGTTCTTTCTTTCTTTTTTAATCAAATAAATTGGAATCGAAGCGAAGGATTCTCGCGGCGATCTTTTCTAATTAAGAAAATCGGGGAACACACCGATCGTGGAACACGCGATGATAAGACGAAAGGAGGGAAACTCGCGCTAATGGCTGCCGGAAAGGAACTCTTCGCTTCGTGTCGGCGAGGTGAACGCGACTTCCGGTGACAAACGCCAGTCGACATTGCTCGGTGATCAGCGAGGATACGCGAGACCCTTCTTAGGTAGTTAGCCGAGGGAAAGGTTAAGGAGGAGAGAGAGAGGAGAGAGAGAGAGAGAGCGACGAAGCAGTTACGCGTGACCGGTAGGGTTTCTATGCCAAATATAATGTGTGTGTGTCTATGTTGCGCTTGTGGGCGCGCGTGTGTGTGCGTAGATTCGCGGCTATAGAGACTATAGAGAGTAGAATATAGTTAATATGGCGGAGGGGAGAATCCTTTGGACGAACTCTGAGAAAGCAAGATTCTGGGAAACAGGATCTAGTCAAATCAGTCTCTACCGGTTCCTAATCGAGATTACGTCAATGTAACGCAGCTTTTTTTTTTTCTGAATACTCAAAGCTTCGTCGATGCTCCGATTCCGATGGGAAAGATGGAACGTGGCAGCATTTTTCTTTTTTTTTTTTTTTAGTATATTCTTTTGTTCTGTCTTTTTTTCTTATAATCATTATTATTATCTTACTTAAGGAATGGTAATTTTTTCGGAGGATAACGGAGCTTGTCGATCGAGGTTTCTACGCTCTCTTATTTTCTAGCTACTTTTTGGTGGAGGAATTGGAATAGAAGTTAATTTTTTCTTTGTAAGTTCTTTATCTATAGTTGTATAATTATAAATAACGATTTCGAATATTTTTCTACGTAATTTCATCCGTAATCTGGAATTATCATTCTACTCGCGAAATTGTTTTATCGATTAACATCGATTGATAGAGAGGGAGCGAAGTTCCAATTCCTCGAAGTGTCGTCTGCACGCGAGCAACATATTCTCGTCAAAGATGTGCGACAAAATGTTGGAAAACATTCAAAAATTAGATGCAAAGAAATTGTAACGAGGCTCGGGATAAGTCGAGTGATCGAGAACGTTGAAATTAATAGACTGATCCTTCGAAACAATCTTTAAAAGAGCCTCCCGCAGGATACTCTGAACTTGTGATATTTCAAATATTGTTTGTCACCTAATAATTAACACCTACTCCACCGAAGATATATATTTTACACTCGTATAAACTCACTTACACGCATATACATTATATTTTCATTATATTTGTCTTCAAGTTCCTCGAGTTTCCACCGCGTTCTCGATCACGTCTGAATCTGATAATATAATATAATTCGCTGTCTAATCCGCTTTTCGATCGATCCAAGAGAAATTAGCTGTATTTGTTTTGTTCTTTTTTTTTTTTTTTTTTTTCTTTAAACATAATCATGAAAACAATGAGAGAAAGTGGAAGAGATGGAAACGAGAGAAAAAGTGAGAGAAAAAGAGAGAGAGAGAGAGAGAGACTCACACACAAACACAGACACACATCAATCCAAAATACTCTAAGGCAGAGTATTTGTAAAAAAAAAAAAAAAAAAACGAAAAAAAAAAATGAAACGCGAAAGGGAAATGGTACGCACATTGAGCCGAGTGAGTGATAATCCCTGTTAAAACAAAAAAAAGTTCTAGTTAAGTGGAGATTTATCGTAATAAATATATACATAAATAAAAATATATATATATATATAAATATAAATAAATATATAATAGGTAAGTCGTGTTGCGTGATTCAACGTGGAGTGTAAGTGAGGAGGAATGCGAGTGGCCACGAGTGAATGAAGTTGAGAATGAAAGGAAGAAATGGGAAAGGAACGCAGATGAGAAAAGGAAAAGAGAGACACAAAACGCGAGAAACAAACAAAAGTGAAAGACACACGCGACGGTTATACGAAAAGGGGGGAAAGGAAAAAAAAAAAATAGAATATAACACAAAGGATCGTGTGAAATAGCCAAATATGACAAATATGTTCTTTTTTTTCTTTTTTTTTTTTTTAAATTCTACTCCTTCTAATCTTCTTCTTTAATATTCTTTATTATTATTATTATTTTTTTTTCTACGTAGATAGCGCGACAGGAATTAGTTACTGTCGCTGGATTACTACTTTTTACTACTCTAAATCTATCGTTAGGATAGGTCACTAGGCTAGGGAAAAAAAGAGGCAAACCGGCCATAGAATTAGTTTTCTATGGTTCACCAACCGGGAACCATGAATGGCCGCTATGCGACAAAATCGTATATCCTGATTTTTCAATTTTGCGTGTGCGTGCGCCAGTACATGTAAATAACATTATTATAACTATTATATATACGATTAGGGAATCGACTCTTGTAATCGATTTCGTCGAGCACAAAAAAAAAAAAAAAGAAGGATTGGAACGGATCCGTTTTCCGTTTTTTTTTTTTTTCCTTTTTTCAATAATTTAAGGAGCTAAACCGAACAACTCAGAGCATACTCATTGATTCTTGTAACGTTATAAATTATAAAACGAGCGAGTAGATTTTAAAGGAGAAGCTGTAATACAAATAATAACGAGATAATGAAACGGCGGGGAGGGATAACAGAAGGACGATGAGGAAGGGGAAAAAAAAAAAAAAAAGAAAAAACACAAGATATGCTAGTGAAGTACAGAAATGAAAATATTCGAAAATGATATCCCCGGGAAGAGCGAGAGAACGGAAGATCGAAAGGAGAAGAATTCTCGCGCGAGAAACGTTCCTCAACGTGACGAGGGGAGAATTCCATTTTTCTTTTTTTTCTCTTCGAACTTCTTGTCTTTGTTGCGCGACAAACGTTCCTCTTCGAACGAGTTCATTTTTCATACACACACACGCGCGTCCACAAACATACACAAGGCTCCCTGAGTGAGAACCTGATATTATTATGCGTGTGTCGAGAATGATACACGATTGATGATCGATATCGTTATTAGGAAAGATTAGTGATTCGTTCGCAGAGGAACGCCGCGCTCAGAGGAAACGGAAAGCGAGGAAGCAAGGATCTATTATCCGTGTATATTGTACACTGTAATTACAATTTATACTTACTCGTAATCGATTACCTTTATCGGTAGGCTATTACAACTAGTGGCTAGCGTAAGTCAAGCTCAAAAAATAGGCGAGACCCGCGCGTCTCCGCGTCTTATTCTTCGTCACGAGTGCACAACTCCTCTCCCGCCCCCGCCTCCCCCTCCCCCCCCCCCATATTTCCTCCTCCTGTTCCGAACTTTTGTTTGAAGCGTGTTCTCCGATTGCGTACGCAGGCCTATCGTACATATTTACGTATATTATCCTCGATGGATCCGCAAATAATCGTCGACATCGAGTTATTTTTCATTTTTATTCCCTCCACCCTCCCCCCCTCCTTTTTTTTATGCTTGAGAATATAAATTTCATCGACGAGATCATGGATAAAAAAAAAAAAAGAAAGAAATATTCTTACAAATATTGGTAACGCGTACGAGTGATCGATGAATCGTGTAAATTGTAAAAGAAACTTGATTCGATAATCTTAGTTTTACGTTAATTTACGTTGCCCAAGGTCTGTTTGCAGATATTCCTTGATGAACGTGAACGTATGGATTGTTGAACGTGGGGATTCGAATTCAACGGGCGGAAGCGATTCGAAAAATTCGTGATACGATTTTTAGAGGAATATTGTACGCAACGAGAAACATATATCGTAATTTAAATTATCGATTATTACGAGTTTCTTTGAGGAAACTCGAAAGTATGATGATGTAAATATAGTTATGACGATCTTTAAAGAAACGCTCGCTTTTATCGCTTCCGTTCATTGAGATTAAACTCTTTTTTGGATCTTCTAGTTCACGTGTCACGGAATATCTTGTGTATTTATCCGGAGGTTAAAGGGGATATAAGTAGATCGAAGAATATATAAATGAATTGCTGTACAAAAGAAAATAAGGAAATTAGAGGTAGCCAAGAATAGATTAGAAATAGTGTCTGTTTTCCAAAGTTTCTCTTAGAAAGAAAATCGAGAATTCGAATCTCGAAGATAGAAACACGGATACCAAAATACTCTTCTTCATACTTCATACTAGAGAGATGCTAATTTATTATAAATATATATATATTTATATATATATATATTTATATATATTCGTGAAAAAAGAGGAAAGAAAAAAAAAAGGAAGTGCTTCGCGACT